ACGCTAGAAGGATGGAGCTGATGGACTCACTGACACCAGACGGGCTCTGCTGAAATGAGAATGCCTTATGCTTCCCTTGGCACTCACCGGGCAAATTCTGTTGGCCGGAGCCATCAGACCTCAGTGTGTCTGGAGCACGATCCAGTTCTGACTGCCGTCAATGAGAGTCTGCCCTTGGACGGCAGTGGGAATTGGATCAGACCCTGGCTTTACCCCTGAGACTCTGGATTTACACCAGAGGTTAATTTTGGCTCCTCAAGTGAATGACACCCCAATGGGGAAGGATGCACCATGCCCCAGACTTGTAAGGTTCTGTAGGTCTCTGAAAATGCAACCTATGAGAATCTTAGATGTGGGGAGTGGGGACAAAAGCCTTTTTTTTTTTTTTTTTTTTTTCCTTTAAACAGCTTTGCACTGCTCTGTGCCTCCGTTTCTCCTTCACTATGGTGGTGGTGTCATGTGTTCGAGAAAAATATTGACATATCTGCAGATCTATCCTATTTATAAATGCTTCCATGACAGGGGCCATGGCTGTGCTAAAAGCTGTTCCTATTTCACACGCGGTGCTTAAAGGACACGTGTTACACCATGCAGCAATCATAAGATGAGCAAACACAAACATGAAGGCGTGACGTGACTCATCTCAAACCTCTGCAGTAACTCAGTGGCAGAGTGAGGACCCAGGAATCCCAGTCCCCACCAAAACAATCATACCTCTACGGTGAACAAATCCAGAAAGAAAAACTTGCTAGCAGAAGTTTCAGTTCCTATCGAGTGCACAGGGAAATCTCCATGGCCTGTAGTATAGCTGTTGTTCCTGACAGAGACCTAATGCATTGGGGATGGAAAAAATAAGAGAAGTGAGAAGACAGGGTAGAGACCTCATTGTTTCTCAGTGGGAAAGGGGACACATATCTTGTTCTCAATGGGAACTGACTGCTGCCATATCTGAAAATCTGTCAATTTGTTTCATTATCTAATAGGCAAGAGCAGCCCCTTTTTAGTGAAGAGCACACTCTGAGGGCAACTATATTGCAGTACTTTGGTCAAAAAATACTGGTGTGTGTTGAGAAGAATGGACAAGGGAATTAATTCCTGTAATATGGGCTGCAGGAAACTACCTGCAAGATAAGAGGGTGACTTGATCTTTTTGAGAAAAAAAAAAATAAAATGACTTCCTTATCTTGATGATGTTTGCTCTGAAGTACCATCTTGTGACTGTCAGATTCTGCCTTGCAGGATCGTTCAATTACAGCCAGCTCCCACAGCTGGCATTGCTTCCTTCCTTTTGGAGGTGTCATTGTATTTACCAGAGCATCGCTTGCTCCTCTTGGTATTCTGAGGCCTCTCTTGTCACCTTTTCGCGTGTGCCTGCAGCCCTGTGATGCTATCTCTGCTCATGTGTTAGAGCAGGATACGACCAATACTTCAATTAGGCGCGGATCTCCAAGGAGGAGGAAATCAAGATGATAAACCACTGAGGAGTGTGTGAGTCAGTATTAGATATGTGATGGTATGAGGAGCAATGAATGAATGCTACCCCTTTTGGAGGGTCCCAGCCCGTTCTCCCGCAGTAACTGTACAGATCCCCTAATGTGAAACTGCAGTGCACTAATGAGGGGTGTTCACACAGGCTGAGTCTCCTTCAGGATGTTCTGGCTCTCCCCCATGAGGAAGTTTTCACTATGCAGAATATTTTTCTGTTCTTCATTAAAATGGTCATGTTAAATAGCTGTGAGGTTTCTCAACGTCTCCTTTTTGAACTGAGCTATCCCACAGCTGGCAGCTTTTTAGAGCAGGAGACATGAGGTTGCTAAACCCATTCATTTTTCAAAGGCACCCACATTTCAAATGGCTGCGGAGAACCATCTTTAAAGTCCTGTGAAAGCCATTGGAATGAAGAGCACTTTGTGAGGACGCAGTAATTATTAAGGGATTTAGGGGTGTGTGGAAATGATTCATGGAGACGTTTCCCAGCCAGCAGGCTCTTGGAGCCAGGTGAGCTCTTCCCTGGAATGTGAAGCATGCAGCTCAGCAACTGGGAGGAACAGGTTTGGCAGGACATTTTAAGTTGTTCACGGCAGACAGCCTCTTCAGAGCCACATCCCTGCCTTACCTACCTCCCAGCTGGATGCTCCTCGCTGCCACACTGTCCCCGGTGAGCTGGAGAGGATGGACACGCTGCGAAGGAGTCTTTCTCGCTGGAAGAGGTACCACATCAAGGTGCACCTGGCCTGATGAGGACCTGATGATGCCCCTGACCGTCAGACCCAGAGACACGGTGATGGACCTGCGGGCTCACTTGGTGCGGGAGGGCGTCACCTCCTGGAAGAAGACATTTTATTACAACTCCAGGCAGCTCGAAGAACACGAGACTCTCAAAGAAGCCAATATCCAGAATGGTTCTGTCCTGCTTCTCGTCAGCAATAAAAGGTAGGCAAGGAGCTGGGCTGGTGTAAGGGAGGGGGAATGCTCTGCGTACCTCAGCCCTTTGGGACACTTTCCTGATGGGGTTTGCAGGAAGCAGATCAGGAGCTGAAACCCCTGCAATTTCCAGCAGGCAGATTGCGATTTAAGTCTCTTCAACCCCAGACATGCAGCACTGTGAAATAAGAGAGAAAGAGGAGGAGGAAATCTGGTTGATGTTGCCACTCCTGTCTCCGATCAGGTCTCACTTTCCTGACAACATGGCCAAACAGAGGGAGAGAGAAGACGTGCAAATGGGAGCTTGTGCGACCCAGGGGAGTGCTGTGGGAGCCTAACCCTTCTCTTCATCTTTCACTGTCATGTCTGGCTCTCGCCATTTCTTTTTAGTAGTTGCTTTCCGCAAGTGTTTGGGGGTGGCGCAGCCCTGTTTTGACAAGGAAGAGCTGTGAGCAGCCTGCTAACAGCAAAGCTCGGTGAGTGCTGGACAGAGATGGGAACAGGCTGAGACTTCCCCAAATGTGGCCAGATCTTGGCACAAAGCAGTGATGTTAGAGGTTTCCAAGACAGGCAGCATAAAGGAGATTCAGTGAATCTTTTCAATGAGGGCAACTCCTACGTTGCAGTGGGAATGCAATTTGACATAATGGACCTCAGCCCTCTGGCCAGTCCGGGCTCAGTGGGGTGAATTTACACCCAGTTGCACCATCTTTCCCAATACCTGGCTTGTTGCTGTCAGCACGATTCATTCTGTGAAGCATTTTGGGGGTACTGTGTAGAAGAGAGGCACGGCAGAGCACAGGTGTGCGGTGTCTAATTCAGCTTTCTGAATCCTGAGCCATCTGAGTTATGCATCTGTGCTGATCAGAGTTTGCTCTGCAGAAAAACCTGCACTAAAGACTTCAGTTCTGATTAGATGCCATATACTGGAATGGTCCTATTTTCCAGTCCAGAGGCAGCTTGAAATCTCACACAAAGAAGATTTAATAAAGCATTTCCTTTCAGAGCTCAGCCAGACACAAGAGATTTCACATCGCTCAGCTAACTGCAAACCTCAAGTCACCCATGGCCCCTTTCTCCAGCATCTCATTTCAACTCTCTGATTAACTTCACACAGCTCCTCCTTTTCACCTTGTTTTTAACAGCAGGAGCATTTATATTTGTTGTTGTAGAAAAGGATTCAGAGGGACTCGGTTGATGGAGTGCACATATCGGTGCTCCAAAATGTGCTGGGGACCTTCCCATGTACTGCAAAAGCAGGGTTGTAACTGCAGCAATGCAAGAATCACCAGAGGATCCTGACCCCAGTGTGCTGAGTTCTGGGTACATGCTTGAAGCTGCTAGTCATTTCTGAGAATTTAAAGCCTCTTGTTTAATGTTCAGGCTCAATTTCTGTGAGTATATGAAAAAGGGAGCAGGATTTATAATGTTTTTGTCTAGAATTTAATCAAAACCTTCCCAGCTCCCAAACAAGCACCTTTGTGTATTCTCTGATCCCTTTTCCCAGGGCTGGGAGCACTGTGGTGGGTAGACGGCCTCTCCCTGAAGTCACATTTCTCCTTGATTTATTGGACACGGAGGCTTAGTGGGCTATGACAACCTCAGCCAATTCCAAACTATTTTGTGTGGCACGAGTGCTAAATGCCCAGGTACTGGGGATACATTTCTCTAAAAGCTCACTGGGGGTGACGGGGCTGTTATTGAAATACCGACCCCACACTCGGTATTTCTGAGACGTGCTCGTGTGTGTGCCTTGGCAGCAGTCACCACCTGCTCAGCGTGTAGTCCTGGGCTCAGCGCAGCCTCCGTGACTCAGCACCTTGCCAGATCCTCAGCGTACAGAGGACAGGTTTAGAGGGCTCTCTCTATCAGTTTCTATCAGAGTTTGGAAACAGAGGGTGGGAGAAGGCAGGTGCTGCATTGCAACTGAGATTACAGCACCATTTTGAGCCTTAAGATTACTGGGCCAGACCTTTAGGTATTATAAAACCATGCTGGCTAACCTAGCCTAGAAAAGAGAAGGCTCCAAGGAGACCATATTGCAGCCTTTCAATACTTAAAGGGGGCTTATTAAGAAAGTTGGGGAGAGACTTTTTACTAGGGCCTGTAGCAACAGGACAAGGGATAATGGTTTCAAACTGAAACAGGGTAGAATTGGATTAGAGAAAAGATTTTTTTTACCATGAGAGTGCTGAGACGATGGAACAGGTTGCCCAGAGAAGTTGTGGATGCCCCGTTCCTGGAAGTATTAAAAGACCAGGCTGGATGGGACTTTGGGCAACCTGGTATAGTGGGAGGTGTCCAGGTCTATGGTAGGGGAGCTGGAACTAGATCTTTAAAGGTTACTTCCAACACAAACCATCCTATGATCTATTCTACGTTGCTCCAGTAGCATTCGTGGAGGTATGCTGGTCTTTATCAGCTGGTCAACGGTGGGAAACCTTAGGGAGTAAGACAAGAGTAGTCTATGCAGCACTGGGATTAAGAGCCACAAGAGCAGAGAGGAACAAAGAACCTGGTGTTGGGTTTGGCCAGCAGCCCCAAGGTTTTAAGAGCTGGCTTTATTATTTCACAGACTCAGTGAAGTATGGACCCTCGCCATTGAAGGTCATCATCTACTTCTTAACTTCTCCCTGAAAATCTTGGTGTCCCTACTTAGTATTTTGCACTGAGAGGCCAGCCAAGCAGAGCTATATTAATTCCAAAAGTGGAGTTGCTCTGATTGCCAAGGTCTGCATCTTGGTGTCGTGCCTATAAATATTAATGGTCACTCTGTATGCTGTGTGTTCCTATAAGGGGCTCACGGGACAGTTTACTTTGAACCAGAGAAAACATGAAAATGACCCTATTTTTCAACCCCCCACCCTTAATGCCTTTGTAGATAATTGGCATTTAGCAACGGCCAAGTCAGCATTTCCACTTCTTGCTCGTGTTTTCTGGGGTTTATAACTTAGCCATAAAAAATCACTTAAGGCTGCAGCTTGGCAGGAAAGGGATCAGCATACCAGCTAATGCTGAAAATTTATTTGGACCTCAGTATTCAAAAGTTCAGGCAAGCCATTTTGGAGTTCAGTCAACATGACCTCTCATCCTGGGGAAACACCCAGGCAGGCCAGAACCAGGAAAATCACATCCACTGAGGCTGCAATTCCCACTTGTGCAGCAGCTTCTTAATCACATTACTGCTGCGCTGATTAAGATTGCAATCCTGTTGCAGTGGAAGCCTAGCAAAGAACATGCGGGAAAACAGTTTCTGCCCTAGAGAGCTGCATATTGCAATAACACAGCTCACGAGTGGGCAAAACAAGGCGTGAAATGCCAAAGGGTGAGCAGAGGTAGAACCCCCCAAGCTCAGAGGCCTCGGGCCAGCCTGTGGTGTTCGAGCTACTGGTGTCCAAAGCAAGGAGACCACCAGGGAGACTCGACATGAAAAAAAGCAGCCACCCAACAGAGATGCAACAACATCCACGAGGGCATGCAGCAGGCTGTCCCAAATGCCCGGGGTGTGATCGGTGCTGGCACTGCGGACCACGCCATGGTGGAACCTGTTTGGCTTGCTCCGGAGGCGGCAGGCGCAGGGCCCCAGAGCCAGGTAGCTGCTCGGCTGGTCTGGTGGTGATGTGGGAGTTTCTGGAAGTGGCACGACTCTCCCTGAGGTTTGTCGGAGCTGCCCGAGTGCTCTCTGCCTGCTGCAGGTTGCGGAGCGCTGCCTGAAGAGGCCTTCTGTGGTGCAGTCACCAGCAGGGCTGGCTGGTGGGCATAGGGCATCCTCTGCCCCCCTGCTGCTAATTTCCATGTCAGATACAAGGTGGAGGGGTATCCTCAGGGGCAAATCCACTTGTTTAACCCATGGGAGCCTTTCTCTCTGTGGTCTCATGAGCTATTTCAAATAGAGGATAGAAATGGGTGATCCAGAGCGATTCCTTAACACACCGTGTGCCTGTCACTGACTGTTCCTAAGGACGCACAGCTCCAGCTGGCTCAGGACATGGTATGAGCATAAGCACATTGTCAGAGCCTTCACACCTGGTTTCAGGCTCCTTTCTTATGTGTGACTGCAGTCAGTCAGACAAGGTCTGTACTAATAAATTAACCAGTGCCAGGGCTGCTCTCTGTTACACTGCTCGAGTATTGCTCTGCAGCTTGGTCCAGTCCAGATGCATTTCAGGAGCTAGCATGGGTCAAAGACTCTTCTTTATGGTCCATCTGGATGTGACCACGCAGGTTTGGAGGGTAAGAATTTGTTATGAAAACAATGGCCATTCTGTGCCAGCTGTCTTCTCACTGCAGAGGAAAGTCCCAGGCACATTTAATTTACTGGCACAGACCCAGCCAGAGCACACAGGATCCCCTCAGTCTTTTGAAAGACAAGGTTCATTGAGGTCAAGCAGCTATTGTCACCACATATGGCTTGCCCGGAGAATGGAGTTCAGTAAGTCATTGGTGAATAGGTTAAATAAAGTAGATGCCAGCACTGAATTTAGCAGAAGTCTATTATCTGGAATCTCTTGGTGTTGATTTTTTGGCCTGGAGCCACCTGAAAACATCTATCTCGGGGCATTAGCTCAGTTACCATAACAACTCATCTAGGAATAACTTCTGACAGCTCAGAGAGCAGACCGAGGTGCTAGGTGGGATATAAGCCACTCTTAGGTCAAGATAAGCATGTCCAGGATTCTTCCTCTTCTGCAATGCTGCCTCAGTGTCCCTAGTAGGTGTCAGTGCTTACACATGCTTTAATATGCTTCGGACCCTGCTTTATCACTCAGAGGCTGCTCAGCCTAATTTTCTAAAGGTCCATCCACTAAAGGAGCTACCTCCTGGCAGAAGAGCAAAAACATCCATCTTTGGGGAACCTGGCTAATTCCCTTGTTGCCGTTCAGTTTACAGTCTCTGATTTTTGGACTCATAAATTATAGCTTGGCGTGAAAACTGTGACTGAGCCACTTCCATAAGGTCCAGTTTTGCTGCTAAGAAACTGCTTCCTATGTCTGACTCTGAAGATGACACAAGGATCGGTGTTTTGCATAGACACTCACCGGTGGCTCCCTCCAGGCTTCTGTTACTTCTCTGTCCTGTCACCCCTGCTCACTCTCACTAGAATCACCTGGGAAGCAGTCACCAGCAACCGCAGACGTTGCCGAATCTCTACAAAGAGAAATCAGAAAAATAATGGGGTCTACACAGTTTGACCCTGTACAGAAAGCCAACACTGCAGCCAAGCATGAATTAAGCCCCTTACGCTGAGCTTCGGTGTGATCTTTTGATGCCTGCTCCTTGCACTGACCTCCCAGCTCCTGGGGTTGCTCAGCAATTGCTCCTCAGCATGGAGGGAGACTTTCCACTCCCGTACAACTACTCCGGACTTGCCCTGTTAAGCTTAGACCTAGCAGCAGGCTCCAAGGCATCTCGCAGTAGGATAACGATCCTTTAAATAGCACTGGGAGTCTCTCTTCTCAGGGAGAACTAATTAAGTTCTTCAGCACATGCTTAGACATATGTTGACCTGGTATGCCTTAACAGGCCTGCTTCCATCTACTAGATAAATAACACTGGCTTAAAAAATATCCTCCTGGAGATGCGTTACTTAGGCAACAGCCAGGTGGGGGACTGACTTCTCCATCTCTGTGCCTAAAAGTAATATTTATGTGTATTACTCATGGGCCAAGCTCTCTGCTGGTGTAAACTCCTTGAAATCAATTTATAAATTCTGAAAGGACCAGTGCAGTCAACTCTGGTAACCCCTAGTATAGCGCAGGCCAGCAAACGACACCTTTATTTAGCTCAGTTACCTATTGTTCAGCCCAAGAAGCTCATTTAACAAAAGCTGAGGGTTGCATCAGCAGAGAACACAGTCCATAGGGTCAGAATTCTTTCCCTGGGCAGTTGCATGAGATTTCAGTAGATGAAACTGAACTAACACGTGTCCCATGGTGGCAGGGGGCATCTATCTTGGCTTGAGGCAAAGAATTAATGATTTGGAAGTATATTCTAAACCAGGTTCTTTTCTGGTGTGACATGGCACAGCTTCCTGAACTCCTCTGTAGCTGTGTTGATTTATACCAGCTGAGGATTTTACCCAGTTGGGATAAATGCTCTGTCCTGTGTCCTGGTGTTTTATGGGGCATATGTGCTACAGGGTGGGCTCACAGCAAATCCTAGGCTATTACAGTCCCCTGAAATTTCAAGTGAGTAACTGAGCGCTGGAATACAAATCTTGTTTTGGCATTTGCAGAAAACCCAGCCAGCAGCTGCTGTCAGCCAAAGCAGAATCGTAGTGTCCTTTGCTAGGACCCAACAAAAAAAACCAACAAAACAACACCCACCCCACATAAACTTCGAACTTTGCTAATTCCTGATTAAATGTTTGCAGCACAAGCTCAGTTTCATGTCTGCATAATTGGAAAGAGCAATTCACAGGAGTCAAGAGACTCAGCCCTGCACTTACTGGCTCGGCTGGGTGGGGTGGCTGCCTGGTAGAGCTGCTGCCTACGGGCCATGAGCATCTTGGTTGCCGTCCAAGCCATGATAATGAGCTCTCTAAGCAGATGCTGGCCCTGAAGAGGTACCCCTAGAAATTTTCAAGAGCTTCAGTCCCCGTTCTGAAGACACCAGGGATAGTCCTGCATAATTTTTAAGGGTCTTCTGAAGAGTAACTAAGAAAGTAATCCTCATTTTGTTAAGCTTAAGTATCCTACGCAGGGTCTGTACCCCTGTCAGAAAATGTTTATGGAACCATAACCCCCCAGAAAGGCTGAAAACCACTGTTTAGTGCTAACGTATGGGGGCGAGCATGGCTAGAGAAATTCAAGCTGTCTCACTGTAAACATCCTCAGAGTGCTCCTAAAGCTACAGGCTGCCCTGTTCTCAGATGAGAAATGGATTTTCGGGATCATGCACTAAGTAAGCAGAGCCTTGCTTATGGGAAAAAGGCTTCCAGGCAGTTGCAGATTGTCAGAAGCAAGGGTGAAGGCATCTTCTGCAGGAGGAAAAGCAGGTGTGAAAACCTGGATGTGGCTTAGTGTGATGGGAAAAACAAAACAGTCAGAGGATCAGGTTTATATTCTCCCCATGCCTGGGTCAGCGCCTCCTTGGTCAAATGCCATTTTTGATTGCATGTCTACAATGCTCCAAGTACTTGCCTCTGTCTTATTCAGATAATGCCAAAGAGCACAGCCAAAGCCATGAGAAACGGGGAGCGTGACAAGGGCTGAAAGGAAGCAGATGGAAGAGAGCTTGGCCGTGGAAAAGGCAGCCCAGCCACAGGCGTTTGGTAAGTCCCTCCCTGCACACCAGCTCCAGGACTGTTCAGAAAGCAGCTCCAAGTGTTTTCAGCACAGTGCCCATGAATAATTAACCCAAACAAACTACAAATAACGTTTCCTTACCAGCTCACCATGTGGTCTGAGCTGCCAAAGGAGAAGCGTGGGTAAGACTGACTCAGCTCCTGGGGGCAGTGAATCAGAGCAAAATGCCCAGGAAAGGGTGAATTCTGCCTGGGTGATGAAGCAAGAAGAAGCTGAGGTGGGTTTTGCTTAGGGCCCTAGATGGGGACACTGGACATCTGAGCCTCCCTCTAACCTGCTCACAGGATTCCTCAGTAAGTTGCTGGTCTTGGCCTTTCTTTTTTCTCCCTATGTGCAACTCCGAGATAATTTCTTCTTCCTCTCTCCCACTCTTGATCCATCCAGCTGTAAGTGACTCAGGTTAGGGATTGACTGCTTCTGAACAGTTCCTGTGAGGTGAGGCGAGGCCCTGATTTCCAGGTTGAAGGCTCTGTAGAGCAAATAAGTGGTAAGTACACTAGAGACAGTCCTGGAGCCTTTACATATCCAAAGCACAGAGACAGGCTCGCTTCTCTTACAGCAACCACCTTACCTGACATTAGGGCCCCGTTGTTTCACCAAAACTGCCATATTTTTGAGCCAGGGTTTAGAGAGCAATGAACCTCCTTGTGCTGCTCATCCCTCTGTGTGCCAGTCCCCCCGCTCCAATAACTTCTGAACCAGCTGACCTGATTCAATCCAGTTTGATGGAAAGAGAGAGGTCTTACAGATTCCCGCAATTTTTGAAAAAAAATAAATAAAAAAAAATCAGTAGGACATAAGAGACATACCAGCTGGTCATCAGTACCTGCCTGACTTCCAAGCAGCTACTGCACCTGCTGCTCCTTGCTGGCAAAGCAGGAAGCTCTCAGAAGAGCTAAGGGCTTTGCTGGGGAGGTCTGAAGGGGATAAGGGTGCCCTGGGGATATTGGGAGCACCAAGAAAGGAAGAAATAAAAAGCAGTTGTAAAACATAACTCAGGAGAACGGGTTTCACCAGTTCCCCTGCTCATGGAACAACTCACTTTTTAGGTTCAAACTTACATTCAGGATGAAATAGATGTTTCTTTAACCACTACAGTACTTTCCCTAGAAAATGTCAGTGATCGTTATCTGTGTTACCAATACCCCCATAAAGCCTGCATGTTCTGTTGCTCAACTGAAAAACATGCCTTTCTGGATTTTTTTTGGCAGCAAGAAAATGTTTGATTCTTTTCTTCCAAGAGAAACATTTGAAGAAGTGCCATAGAAAATGGAGTCTCTCATTTTCCAGGAGTATTTTTTTCCCCTCCTAGGAACAAAGAGTATTTCCCAAAATACTTCCCTGAGATTCTAGGACAGACAAAGCTATGAACTTAGTCACACCTGAAGAGCCTTCAGTCCAAGCAACAGAAATGGACAAAGGCTGGGATGGGACTAGACATGGGAAGAAGGAATGTGACTTTTCCAAGGTCAACCACCAAGCTGGGTGCACGGTGGAAAGTGTGCTGGCACTGTTGGGTCAGCGTTTCTGCCACTTGACCATGCGGCGCCTCTGTGCATCCGTCTGTCCTGAAATAATGAGCTTCTTGGAGCAGAGCCAGTACTTTCCTGAGCGCTTGGAAAGTGCCTTGTGCAGCCTAGGTGCACTCATAAATAATAATTTAAATGTTAATAACAATATTAAAGTGGAGGCGTGACACTGAAGATGGGACACACTCAGCAACAGAGTCCTAAATCAGTGTCTCCCTTCTAGCGAAATGTACAATTTGTCTCACAAAGTCTGGGGGACCAGTATTTTCTTCTCTGGACCTGGCAATCGCAGTCTTATGCTCTGTAGAAGGCAAACTGACCTGAGTAGAATTAGGTCCAGTATCTGCTCTAACACCTCATGCCTGTAGCTGGCAGCTCTGGTCAGCTCCAGAAGCCTTTTTGCAGCTCAGGGGAATATCTGGAAAGAGTAAATTAACTGTGGTAGTGCGGGGAACTGCTTGGACTAATGTTTTTTTCAGAGATAGGCTTTGATTGACACTTCAGATCTGCCTGACAATCTCTTATTCTAAGTGTAAGTTGCTGCCTTTCTTCAGAGCAAGAAGAGCTGGTTGGGTTGCTGTCCTTCAAATGATGGATCTTATCACATGGGAAAAAGAAGAAAAAAAAGCAAACCACCTGCAAACAGCCACAGGTATAGCACAAAAAGAGGTAAAACTAACTGAAGCTATTTGAGTTATTTCTGTTTCTTTCCCTCTATGGCATAATCCAGTGCAAGATATAAAAGAAAAGAGACTATACTCTGAGGAACAAGAGCTGACTGCTCTTTTTATTTGACTGTTGTTCTTTCCCTTCAAGAGACTTTTAATGCTTTGCAGATAGCACCGCGCCACCCTCCAGGGATGGGAGGGCTGGGAAGGCAGTGGGACAACCTCTTTTTTACTCATTTGGTCCCCCTTTGGTCCCCTTTTAGTGCCCGTCCTCCCCACACTGCCTCTTACTCCATAGTTTGAGGCATCCTCAGTGCTTGCTAAATGCTGTGATCTCACTGTTCAGCTGCTCACAGAAGAGGTGAGCTCTTTTTACAATATAATTTACAGTTTACCTGAGTCTGGTCAAGAAGAAGGTCGGGTCTCCAAACAGGCAGAGGCTGGCTTCAAATCATCTGAACACCACTTCGGTGGGAAAACGGGTCTCATTTGAGATGTCCTGTCTCTTCTTGCTCATCTAGGTCCGTAAGAAACAGCCAGTCTCTTCAGTACAGGGCTGCTGCTGTATGTCCAAATGCCAGGGACGATACTAAGAACTGCTCTGAAATAGATGTTTTCCTTGTTCTCTGCAAACACAGGTGTGGACAAGACCGATGACCGAAGCTGAAAGGTGTGCAAGCTCCTGTTTGCACATCAGCCTGGGCGTATCGTAAGATGGAGACATTTGCAACTTCGCCTGCTGCACCATGGACGGGCTTTCTTCTTGCCAGGAGCGTTTATCTTTGGGATCCTCCTATTGTTGGGGCATCACAGCCAGGATTACCACGAGTACTGCTGTTTGCTGCTGCGCTCACCTCCACCTCGCAGCTGCAGCCAGGCCTTCCCAACCAGCTCCTTTTCTTGAGCCTCATGAGCAGAAGACAAGCCCAGGCAGGGCCGTCTCCCCCAGCTGCTGTATTTCAGCAAGGCAGGTCAGGCTGAGGCATGTCTCAGTGGCTCCTCCGTGCCTCTCCTCTACCCAAGTTGTGGATGCATCTAGTGCTTCAGCTTACAGGGCCATCAGTCTGGCAGCTTTCCTGGGCACTAAATTTACTTTTTAAAGTTACATCAGTGTTGTACCCAGAGGGAACAGGAGGAACAGATGCAGTCTGTGAAGTCTGGCTTTAATTCACCTGCCTCATTTAATTTCCTGCCCTGCCTTCTAATCAATGAGTCTGCACTGGTGGCCCTGGGAATACAGAAGTTTTTTCATATACAGGAGAATTCAATGTGGTGGCTGTTCCAGCTGAGCGTTCCGGGTCTCCAGCAGGCTGTGTCATGTCTCCTTTGAGGCTGCTTCATAATGGTGTTCCCTGCCCCAGAGGCACTTGCACATAGATGGCAGCTGCATTGCATTTCCTTCAAGGGGCCACTGGCACCAGGCAGCTGTGCCCCGTTAGCCGACAGAGGCTGGCTGTGTGGGGTTCTCTCCTGGAAACTGCTGCTCTCCTTCCAGGTGTTCCTGGTTTTCAGCCATGTGGCTTCCTCTGCAGGGCCATGCTGCTTTTTGGGGCTCTGTCCCTGCAGTCGCTCTGCCATCCTACCTCAGACAGGCTGCTGATGCCAGATATCCTTCAGTACCTCCCAAGACTTCTAGCAACACCGTGGGATCAGCGGTGCTTCACATGGGCTCTGTTCTCGAGGCTTTGCAGGGCCTTCAGGCCAGGCCATCATGCCGTGGTGGCCCTGGTGCTCCTTCACCAAGGACAGTTGCATCAAATCACCTCAAAAATGTTTTCAGGACTTCGTTGCCTCATACTCAGGACTATCAGGAAGCCCTGATGAAATGATTTTGGGCATTCTTGCTTTGGTTAAGCATATTCCCTCGCAGTATTGCCCAGTTGCTTAATCAGCCAGTGTCAAAACCCTGGGAGACAAGCAGGCTGTCCTTGGCTGGTAGCACTTAATTCGTGACGTTGCTGCTTTACCTCGTGTATTATAATCTGTATCAGATTGCTCTTTGCTTGCTAAAATGGACAATTAGGATCCAGTTGTAATGCAAATTGCACGGTGGAATAAAAACTGTGGGGAACAAAATCACAAATAAGTATTTATGTCAGCCTTTGTTACCGCGTGATAGGTCCCGCTCAGTTACTGCTCGCTGTGAAGCATTAGACAGAGGAGAACCTGGTGTGCCTTTGTGTTTTATAGGCACGAGCTGCCGAGCTGCTCTGGGTAAGACTGCCTTTAGGCACTCGCGGGCCCCGATAATGTGTATGTGTGCAAACCTAACAGACAGATTGCCGCCTACACTGGAAATTTGATGATTGCCTTGTTTTTTTCCAAGGCTCTGTTTTATATACTGCAGGCCAAACCCATGGGGTAATTTCCAGTCTCTCTGCACAGGGCTGAGCTGACGTGGTGAGAGAAGCGTAGAGATGCTGAAATTTCAATCTGCCACATAATGTGCTCCTAATACTGATGGCCTTAATAAGTGTGTTGTCATCGGCGGTGTTGCTGTAGTTCTTGCCATTGTTATCTTTCCCAAGTCTGGTGCTAAGCCTTGTAAATTAAGAGGAACCTAAAGTTTCTGTGGAATTAAACACACAGGAGTCCTGCAAATGCACATGGAAGAGTGCACGTTTAAAATGCCAAGCCTTATTGATGTAAAGTGTTATGCTGCTGGTGTAGCTGCCTTTACTGCACATCAGCTTTGCATTTCCCCAAGCCCCAAGCAACAAAGAATTGAGCCGCATGTTTTCATAGCAAAACTCATTTTTGAGGACCGAGGTGGACTATCCATGTTTCATGTGTTATAGCTGGTAGTCAAGAGGCAAGTTATTTAAGGGTTAGCAAAGCTTGTGAAGTACCTGTAAGATCCGGAGTGAGAGTAATGACTGTTCACATCCCATTGAAACGGTGACTTCTAGAAGAGAGCAAGGAACAAGAATGAGGGTTTGTGAAGCCAGACAGATGAGCGGGGATCAAAGTCCTCTGAGAAGCTATGGCACCATAGCTCATCTATCTACTCAGAAAAACCTTTGCAACTGCCATTAATGACTCCAAATGGCCTTGTTTTCCCGCTAGCAGGGAAATAAGCAGCTTCAATGGGGAGGAGTAAATCCATTTGATTGCCCACGTTGCCGGGAATAAGCATCTTATTACTTATTAGTAATAACCCAACCTGTTGCTAGCACTGTAGCCACCAGAACAGACAGCCTTATCTGCCAGAGAATCATTACATTGCTCCTAACATCTCAAACTGCCACTGAACAAAAGGAGTCAGAAAGGCCTCAAGGAAGAAAGCAAAAGGCAACGTGGAGAACCTGGCTTATAAATGATGTGTGTAACAAGCGAAATATTTCAGGGCCAACACATCTTTTGAAGAAGAGTTGTGCCAGGCAAGACTGAGCTCTTTCTGTTTCTGACCTTCTAAGCCAATGCGTGGTATTCATCCATAGCTGATGGGTTGGTGGCAGTGTTGGCTTGTTAGCTCATCTTCTGAAGGAAAGAGGGGCATCTATACCTCGGGTCTGCGATGCAGCAGCTGTCAAGCTCAGGGATCTGGTCCAGGATTTAGATGAAAATTCTCCACGGAAATTGATGACAAAGCACCTGATCGCTTCACCACGGCAGGGGTGTTCTCACATGGTGACACCCTGGGAAATTCTCACTCAGAATAGATCAGATTCTGCTCTCATTTATGCAATTATAAATCCAGTGTGGTTCCATTTGAAACAACTGTTTTCATCCAATGCAAATGAGATCAAAATCTGGCGCAGGCTGTTTTTGTACACAATGGAAACTGACTGAATTATGGGAAACAGGAAACAAATCAAATGTAAATCTAAATGGAAATATCATGCTCTCTGTTACATCAGAATAAATTGGAAGCAAGTCTGTCGATTCTAATGGAATTCATCTGGATTTACACCAGACCGTGGCTCAGCATTTGTCAGTTGGCTGCACACCGACATCAAAACACAAACCATGCTACCTCGTCTGAATAGCTTTGAACAATTTCTTCCTTTCCCTTTACATTTAAGCAATTGCCTCTGCATCCTGATAGCTGATTAGCCTTTTCAAACAAATAAACCCCTGCAAACAAACATCAACAAATGAGCCCCTGCTCTCGCTAGCATATTCAGAATCTAAATGATGAGTCTGAAGTGCTGAGCTTGGTTTTGGAGTCACTTAAACTTGCTCCCGTCCCTCTTTGTTCACAATATGGAGTAGTGCGGTTGAGCTCACGTGGAAACAGACTGTTGCTATTCTCATTTCCCCTAAGCACACCAAATCATCTTCCCACCATCAACGGTCAGGGCCAGCTATTTCCTAGGATACACAAGAGACCTTTCAGTAGACAAGCAAAATATCACCATACTTCTGCTGTTGCTGTGCTCAGATGGTCAGAATGGAGCTGTAACCTTCCCTAATGTGTCTAATATGAAATTGTGTCACACTCTGTTCCTGCGGGCAAGTTACTGTTCCTCTCCGTGCCTATGTGCAGCTGACCATAGGAGCCTGTTGCTGATGGGGCAATCTTCATGGAGGAGCTGAGAGGGGTAATTAATGTCTGAGCTGCAAACTAGGCTTCTTGGATAAAAATTACTGGAAAAGCACAATGTCTGAGGAAGAGAACAGCCATGTCAGCCCTTTCCCTTGAATATCAATTACCTCAGCTCCTTATATCATTCAGGTTTTAATCTGTGTTACGTTTTTTTTTTTTCTTGGATAATTAGTAAAATGTATCTGAACTAAAACGAGACGAGGATGATGCACAAATCCCTAAGTCGATGGGGCTCAGGGAAGGACAAAGCACTCAAATTCAAATACATTATTCAAATACAAATTCTGTTGGTAACCACCTGAAATAGTAGTCACAGTTAGAGAGAATGTTTAAAGTTAAAAGATTTCTCTGAGAGTTGGATAACTGTTTGACTGGACACCCTTCTTTCAAGGGACTTGCTGCTCACCTGCAATCAGTCTCCTGGGCAGAAGAGGTAGGGGAGCACTCTGGTCTGAACACTTGTTCCCACTCTTGCACTGTTTTTTTTTCTGTAGGATCTTTAGGAAGTTAATTGGCCAAGATTTTCACAAGTGGCCCCTCTCTATGGCTGCTTGCATGCGTAGGTGTTCAATCTGAGACATGAGCAATCACCCTTTTCTGGGTCATTAGCAACAAAGCACACACGGATCTCAACCAGCATCTGAATGTGCCAGCCACTACCTCTCAGGGCATTTATGTTCCCATCTGTAAGTTGTTATAATAAATACTTGCCTGATTTTATAAAGCTATTCAGGACTCTCAAATGAAACAGAGGCTTTCAAGTAGCTGTGATTATTATGGCTTACTCTTGCTTAGGCTTATTCCTGCAGGTCAGCTATACTTAATTTGTGAGAGCTTTCTCATTGCTGGCACTGCAGATTCCGTGTGGCATGCAAAGCCTTCCTATCTGGTTTCTGTTCTTTAGAGCATCACCTGGAATAAATGCCTGCAGCCAGGATGCACCCGATGGTTGTGTTGTTGATACAAAAACAAAAGCTCCAGTTTACTTATTGCTCACAGCTTCCATAACTCTGATTACCATGTACCAAAGGCTTATTTTATCCATGTCAGTGAAGTTAACACAGGAGACTTGGAAGCAGAGAGAAAACAGAAATGAGAAGTAGCTGGGTCCCAGCCCAATCCCAGCTCTCTGCAAGAATGCACCATATGCAGACATGGGCAGCATTGGACTGCGAAGTGTAATGTAATCCTAAGGAACCAGCTAAAGCCAATTTGCCAGCCTCCTTGGAGACTCTCAGCAGCACCATTGCGTTTTACTCGCTGACTGTAAATGGTCTTAGTGCGCATGATAATAAAAACTATATAGAGGTGGATTTAATAGGATCACCAAAACCAGAGTAAAGAGAGAATCACAATTGCAGAGACATTTGCTGCTCCACCAATACAAGATGGGGGTGAGGGGAAATTATCTGCTTTTATAGGAATAAACCTCTTTAGGCAACGACTGTAAAAGTGGGGATAATTGTAACTTACTGTTCACACACTGCAGCGGGGAATCACATCCAAGTCTGTAGTTACAAACTTTAGCTTTAAATACTGTGGACTGGACTGTGCTGTGCAGTTTTAGTGGGTAGTCACATTGATTTCAAAACAGTTTTCCCTGGGGTACAGCACTGCTTTGTGCGAGCATGGATTCAAGGCCCTGCGCTTGAATCTGATCTTGCATTCTGAGAAATCAAGTGACTGTTGGTGGGCATATACCTGACTTACTTGAATATGCATGTGACCTGGCCTCAAGAGCCACTACAACCTTGGCAAGATTTTTGTTAAGTTATCCTTCTAATTAGACCCTATCTATGTTAAGCAGAATCATATCCATTTTAGCATGGATGTGAGACTCATTTGAACGCAGAGCTGGATCTTAGTCAGAAATCAGGTTTGGCCATGATGGCAATAGAACAGGTTAGCCTGTAAACCCAAAGCAAATTTGCAAACTCTGTCTGTTCAAAAAGAAATGCATTAATAGATGACTGATCTCCTGAACCGTCATTTGAATAGTTTTGACTGCACGCTTGTTTTATTCCTGGGAAATTTCAGAGTACAAAAAGACTTCTATTTTCCTTCTTCATTTGCCAAGAATCTCTTTTAAACTCGTACGTAATATAGACTGAGTCTTGGATCAGATCTTCAGCTCACGCATACACAGAAGTTCACATGTATGGAAGTATCGCAATGGACTTCTGTAAAGAGATACTGATATATGGGAGCTGAGGATCAAGGACAAGAAAATGAAAGCAAGAAACTGGTAGGTATGAAGCTTTCTGACCTGGAGTGGTTACTCCAGGCAATGTGTTATTTCGTAAAAAAATGATTCATCCAAAATGGCAATCTTACTCATTTGGGAAATGAATGTCTAGAACATATGTCTCCATGACCCAGTGCCATCCTTGAAACAATCCCTTTTTATGCTGATAGTTTGAGGACTTTTTTTTCCACTGTCTGCTCTACCCCCAAGGTCATTTTCAGATAATGGCAGATGGTTTGAATTGAAGTATTTAATTGTGAAAAAAGTCACAGTAAGTTTTTTAAACAAAGCCTTTGGCAACAGCTGCTGATTGTAAATCGGAGAATGTGCTTGTATTGGGACAGTCTGGATTATTTTATTTTATGTGATTTTAATGCTTCTAAAAGCAAGTGTTTGAAAGCTATATGCTGAGAATCCAGAAGTATGTGGATCAACTTGTACAGAGATTGTTGGGTGTCAGGAAGGAGAAACGGAAACACAATACAGGACAGAATTCTGAGCAGGGAGTGCCCCTCAGACAAATGACACTAACATTATGAATAAGTGGAGAAAAATAGGAAGAATGAGTAAATGGAGCCTTGGTTTAGTGCCCTAAGCACTGAAATCCATTCTTATTGTGGGGCATCCTTCCATATTGCTGCAATGTGGTACCTTGGAAAGAGGTCTGGATCCCCTAGTGCTCAGAGAGATGTTCAGAAGGGAATCTGAACATCATGTTACGAAGTAAGACCATATGACAATGAAGACTGTATAAAAACAACTCTGGGATTAAGCTAGGGCTGCTTTAAGCCCTGGGTACATTAGGCTAGATCTGCCCATTTCTGGTTTCTTGCAACTTGCTCTGAAGCTTTTACTACAGCAAAAGGATTCTGGAAGAGAAGAGTCTCCTGCTGCTAAGCCTTCACCATCACTGGGGAAGTGACTTTTTTGTAGTTTAATAGTAAGTTGTCAGTTTTCAAGCCTGTCAGCACAGTGCCTTTCTCCCACAGCAAGTAGTTCATTTCAGCCAGGAGTTATTCCTGGTGTATATGAAAGAGAAGAGAGCTTCCTTTTTTCTTTAAAGGAGAAAAGAAATAGCCTTCCTGACAGATTCCGAGTGAAGTCTATAAAATTCTGGGAGAAATTCCTAAAAGCACTGATTATGATAACGTCAAAAGAAGCAAGAAACTACCCTGGGAGATGACGTGAGAAAGGTGTCCCTGGTGAGATGTAGCACCAAGTCCATCAGAAATGTTTGTCAGTGACCAATTTCAGGTGCCTGGGGAAGGAATGTATGATCAGGGCAAACTTGGATGGGTCTTGCTCTTTCCTGTTCCTTCTGGAGGCTCATGCTCTGCCCAGCATCTCTTCTCTTCCCAGTCCCTGCTAACAGCATTTTGTTTCTCATCTTTTTCAGTTTGAACATGGGGAAAGGAGGGGAAGCAGGTCTACAAAGCAATTTCCAACCTGTTTTCCTATCAATCTCTCTCCTCTGTACTAATACTTGTTTTTCTTAGGGATAAAGGCTGGAGATAATTCCTTTAAGTGGCAATTAAGCTCCAGGTGGCTGCAGAAAACTGTAGCTTTCCCCAGTTCCTGCAGAGACACAGCTTGAGCCACAGGCTTCCCTACTTCCCCAAACCAGGATATTTTTTTCCTGTCTTTGTATGATTAAGGCCCCACTTGTCCAGAATAGCCCAAAGTGATTGGAGCAGTGGGGAAAACAACAAACCACAGATGCTCCATGAACTGTCAGTGCCCTCCTTCAGAAATGCACTAATTTCAAAGAGCAGGGAATAGTTTCCTCCCAGTCCTCATCTGACCTTGTGTTTCATCTGCAATACCTCTGTTTTCCAAGCCCTGAGCTCAGTTCAATATCCTTGCACCCCTGCTGTGGTGGCAAATATCAGAAAGAGACCTCTGATCATGCTGGACAGACTACTGCAGGCTAATGGAGAAATACTTGCACTCCAAGATGCAAAGCGAGTCTCATCAACAGACCTGTGTGATCAGTTTGGCTCATTAGTTAATGAGGTTAATGAGGCACCTGTGTATGAGCCAGCTGATATGAAAGGGGACACATCGAGTCTTAGTGATTGCTCAAGATGACACAGCAAATCACTGGTAGAGCTAGGGAAAGACAGGGCACAGCACGGCAGGGCTCTGCTCCAGGTCTAAGGCATCCCAACCTACCTTTGGTGCAAGTGGAGATAGCTGTGAGCTTGATTCTGTCTTGTGTTGGGTCTGTGCGAGGACAACGGGGAAATATGGCACGTCAGCAGGCTGTTTGTGTTGGAAATATTCTCCGTTATCAGCAAGACTCATGAACTTTCAGGGAGATCACTACATCTCTATTTGCAAAGAAACGTGAGCCACTAACTCGGAGGATCTCCCTTTCTCTGGCAGGCTTATCATCAATAGCATCAAATAATGGCATGTTACCTTTTCTACCTACTTTTAATGATTTATCATCCCTGAATTATGCACCATTGGTGACAGTAATTTTCCCTGATTTAGACAGGTAGATGGAATTACAGTTCTCTCTGTTTGGTGTGCTAACATAATCAGAATTAATATTTTGTCTTGTCTGGCTTATCTTAGTTAGACAGTAGCTATTATTTCACCTACTCTATTTCTCTTCCCCCTCCCTCCACAACTAAAATAATTTGATTTTAAGCTATACTTGGAGCAGGACTCACCTCAAATCTGATTTCAAATTCCTAGATAGGAGTCCGATCTCAGTGCTACCAATCTCCACCATGTCCAAGCACAGTCAGTCATGTAACAGGCTGGATCAAGCAGGGAGAACACATTTTATTGATCGCTGCAGATACCTGTACACAAGCACACACACGTATTTTTGACTTTGCTTGCATGCAATCCAGTGTTGGGCAGAGTGAGTCAGAAACTGCTTCCCACCTGCCACCAATGGCACATGCTCTGGTATCCCACACCGTGGCCTCATGGAGATCGTGGTTCTGGCCCTACAAGCACATGGCCCTACAAGCTAATGTGAGTGCAAATGCAAAGGAACATTCCTCACTCTGTAGTGTGTGTGTGCTGGGAGGCAAAGAGGTGAAAGCATGGATTTCATTACTCGTAACATGTTACTCCTTTGTCCTTTCTTTTTCTAGTGTGTTCCCACTTGTGCTGATTTACAGTCACCACCATTGGGCTTTGCCTCCCTGTGTGGGATGTTGAAGTGTGTTAGATGCTACACATACTGAATTATTTGCCCTCTTTTTTTTTTTTTTTTTTTCTCTTTCCCTCCCTATTCATGGTTGTTTGTTTTCTCTTCATTCATGGCATCAAAAGGACGTTTGAACAGCAACTACTCAATCCAAATGAAAGGGAATGTTGCTTTTGGAAGATCCAGCAGAAGCCTGAGCAGATCAGATACTAAATTATGAATTAGCTGGAGATTTTTTTCATCTCTCTCCTTTCTCTTTTTTCTGGCTTTTCTTTTCTCTCTCTATTTTCCTAACCCTAATTAAAATGTGCAGGGCACAAAACTGTAATGAAGGACTGGACCCATTATTTTTGTTTATGGCAAAACCCAAGCGGAACAGAACTCTAAATGGGCTCTGGTTGAGTACCATCTCCCTCCATAAAGACCATAATAAATATCAGCCACATTGATTTTCCTTCCCCATGAACCCTTTGCTATTTGTTCTGGTCTAAGTGCACTGTGTTTTCCTCTGAGGTTTCTTTTGCTCTAACTGTTCTATTATCTGTTGTTGTTGTTAATCTGTGTTGAGTGTGTAATTGAGATCCTAAGAGGGAGTTTAAGAGAAACCCCCTTGGGAAGACATCTGACCTACATGAAGAAAGAGAAAAAATAAAATAAATAACCCAAGCCATTGAGGCCAACTGCTCTGTTTACCTGGTGGAGCCATTTCCTTTATCAAGGGCTCTCATCCACCCCAGGCTCAGTTCTCTTTCTGTAATTAGTTTTGCGTATGTGTTTTTAACCTCTACTTGATTTTTGCATTGATTTCTTTGCCTTGGGGGGACATTTGTCTGTTGATTCCCTAGGCCTGATTTTCCCTTTACCTGCAGATGTCTGCAGAACTGGTGTTACAGTCAGAGATGCTGCAGGCAGAGGTAGGATGTGGCCCCTTTTCCCTTCCCATTTACATGCTGCTGCTAACACCTGTGATTTATCCTGGCCCAAGCGATACAGTACGTGCTGGGGGGTGATGTAAAAGACGTCTCAAAGCACATGACAGCTACCTAATTCCCCCTGGCTTTCCTAGGGCATAAGGCATGGGCTGAATGCCTCCAGGGGGACTGGCTAGAAAGGTGTATTCAGCTGACCTCAGCACTGCCTGCCTGCTCTCTATCCACTGCTGGCCGCCTGATCCGGGCAGTCCATGTCCTCAGCACCCGAACTTCCCGTCTCCCTTGTTTGGCTGCTGCCACGGGGACGTGTTGCAAATACACGGAATCCATTATTGCCTGCTCACTGTTCCAGTTCCCCAGTCTCAGCAGATAAAGAGTTCTCAGTGTTGTCTTAATGTCTCTTTGTAGTTTATTAGAGGCCTAGGAGGCACGAGGGGGAAATGAGAATGTGACTCAGAATTCCCTGTTCTGAGTCACGTGCTTCCTTTGCAATCTCATTTGTAACAAGACTATTAAAAGTAAATTATCTGAGCCAAGCGGCAGTGCTGAAGCGTAAGGGCTGAGGAGAGGGAAGCAACACCCCATCGGGTGTCTCCAGATGGAAGCAGCTTAGCTCAGCCAGTTTAATCCGTCCCTTTCTGCCCATGTTGGGATTTCTGCTCTTACTTTGGGAGGAATGACAGTGCTGACAGTGGTGGATGTGTGGCTGGCTTGATTTCCCCTCCAGTCCTGATGAAGAAGTGCCCCTCTTGGCTACAGCTTGGGGATGTCTTTGGGCTCTTGACATGAAACTGGAAAGAGGAGAGGGAGGTGCCCATGCAATGGGCTCTTATCTCTGGGATGATTCCGTTGATGGAGAGGCTGCAAACTGATGGCTCCACTTGTCTCATGTTTCCATGGTATTTCCATCACACCTGTTCCCAGCGATGTCTAATAAACTGAAGCAAATTGGGATGAGGGATTATCAGGCATTAAATGATGCTACCGAGCCAAGCCTCCCGCTCTGTTCATTATGACAAATTTCTATTTTCTCCCAGGGACTGACTGCAATTCAAACTGAGGCAGGGTGAGGAGGTGGCTGATGGCGTGTCTGTGCCTGTGTCAAGCAGCTGGGGCTGCTGCAGGTCTCCTGACTTGTCTCTCAGTTAAGGTCAGGTCCTGTTTCTGTTGAAGCAATTTCATATCTCTCAGTGGGGGTTGGATCAAGCCTTTAAGGAATTAGACTCTACTTTGGTTCATACAAGTGAGCTCAGCCTTTCAAAAGTCCCCTTTGATCCCTCCCATTCTGTTCAGGAATTGCTTTGAGCGTATCTATTGACTTTCCATGGAAAGCGGACATATCTATGTAAAAAACCTTGCTGGTGAATGTTTTATGGAAGTAATATTGACCTTCCCGCAGGTGCTGAAGAGAAAAGAAAGTCCTACTTTTCTGTAAAACTAAACTAAAATTGTATTTGATGAGTTCTATAAAATGTTTATAGATTTTTATTTTTTCCTACTTTGTCCAAAACATCTTTTTTCCCACAAAGGCCAGAGGCAGAATATTTACAGGGAAAGAAGGGAAATGCTTTTTTGAAAAATATTTGTGCTGGCAAATTGTTGCAAATTTTTCAGCTCCCAGATGCATCTAAACAAGTAACAGCAAAATTTTGGCTGCCTTTGCAAAAAAAAAAAGAACAACCCAGCCCAAACCAAAAAGAAAAACAAAAACACAACATAGGATTTATGGGCTAGTTTCAGGTATAATCAGAATCTAAGTTAGGTTTACTGAGTATTTACTAGCTTCATGAAGTTTACAATGGAAGCAGTACCTGTGCAGTCTTGTGGAAAGTAAATCCAGGTTCCTCCCACTCCAAAAAAAACAGGTCAAACTCTGTTTTTCTTGGCAAGCCCTTGCTGCTGCAGTCATGCTCTGCTGTGGCCACAGTCTCACGGATCCTCCCAGACATGTTGTAGGTCTTCAGGTGGTGACATTAGTTCCTTCCGTGGGTGACAAGGTGAGTCTCTGCACACTGGGAGAAAAGAAATGGTTCAGGGTTAGGTTGGGCCTGGAGGGATACCAGATCTCCAGGGGGTATTAGCTCACCAAACTTCATGTGGTGTAGGGATGAACACAGCTGAGCTAAGCAAAGAAAGATCTGTCCTGTTTCTGAGCTGGTGCCTGAAGGGATACCATGGCACCTTGAAAAGGCTGCAGGAAAAGGCCAATTCTTCCTAAGAGCAGCTCAAATTTTCTGTTCTTGATGTTCATTGCCTCCCGTGGCTCATATCCTGACAAGAGCTCATCGCTTATCAGCATCACTTGCCTTAAACACTGCAAACCATCGATCTAGCCTCTTCCATCCCTAGAGTAAGGACGTCTCCAGCAATCAGAGAATGTCTTAAAATGGGAACTGGTGCATTACTTGAGTTGTGTCTCTCAGCTTCAGGTTTTCTAGGTTTTCTGCTATAGACGGAGTATAGAAATGTTCCTCTCATTTTTAATGAAAGATCAGATAATCTGTGTCGCAAGAGACTGAGCACAGCAAGAGGTTTCTGAAGAATTTAAAGAGCTCCCACCTTACACACTGCAGTCACAAGCAACCTGTTGTCTAAGATAACCTACAACAACTGATTATTACAATATACTTAAATATCTGCTAATGAAAAATGTATAAACTATGTATAAGCTTCATACATTACATGATCCCTGCTTCCCTCTGAAACCTCTGTCTTCCTACTAAGTCTTCCAGCAGCAATCTAAGTTTCCTTTCTCTGTCTTTTCTCAGCCCCTGGTGGCTTTGCTCAGTTCATCCTATGTCACTTGTGTCTGGATCTGGAAATATTTCTCAGGACATTTGACTCATCCATCATTTAGATAATCAGAAGGGAAAAAAAACAGAGTGTCCAGCTATGAACATCCATAAAAAGCACCATGGAAAAAACCCTCACCTTGAACTTCCCTTCCTGCTTTTCTTTTCATTTCATTTGAGAATCTGACTTGACAGTCTTTGCTCTGGCAAGAGTCCCACTGAAGTTATTAAGGGCAAGAGCTTGTCAGGATTAAGAGGAAGGATTTGAAATCTCCGTGAGTGATAGCAATATCCCTGGTTCTATTAGACCAGATAAGTATTTGCAAAGGACATTAACCCTGGTGCCTTGAGCTAGATGGTGACTGCCCTGGGGGGAAAGGAGATGAAGTTCCCAATGGGGATACTGCTCTACATCTGCCTGTAATATGGCTGTGCATCCCTTCCCTTGTTCCAAAGTTTCCATTTGTCCATCAGAAGCAGGGTGCTGTTGGCAATGAATGAGCAGTGAGAAGCCTAAGTGGGAATTAAGACCTAAAACTCAATGTTGGCACCGAGCCTGGGCGTGCAGGTGTCCGTCAGAGACGATTACACAGCAAGTTCAGCCCAGTCAGGTGTTTCCAGACTGTTGCTGCTTTGAGGGCTGGATTTGGAAAGGCCACCTAAACTGCCCTGCCTTCAGTGGGTGCAAACGTCTGCACAAACATAGATGGATGTGAGCTGGAGTCATGTTTACTAACTTCCAGGACTCCAGCATCCCTGTTTTACCAATGTAAACTTCTCCTGCTTCTCTGCTCCCATTTTTCAGGAAGGGACGGTTATCATGGATCAAACATTCACTTGGCCCACCTGAAGGGCAAATGCAACTCCTAGGGCAAAAGGCAAATAGAGAGTGTCATCAGGAAAGGAGAAATTAGGATGGAGTTGATTGAAAAAGCTTTTCTTACTCCTCTTTCTGCTTTCCTGGGCCTGCAACACTGGACAGACTCGTGGATCATCCGTATTTCCATCTGGCACTGAGAAAATCCATGCTTTGTGCAGGAAATCAGAGCGCTGCTCATGCCTTCTCCGCTGTAATTCCTGGCCTCACACCCATGGCGTCTACACGCGCACGTGATTTGCAAGCCCTCCTGTCAGGGGGAGATCACATTAATGCTGATGTTAAAACCAAATAAACACTGAAACAAATTTAAAACAAAAATAGCATTTCAGAGGCTGTGTTCCATTCCCACCACCCACTACCATTTATAACTAATTGGGGCTTTGTTATATTCTCTCACCCAGTGACAGATAAATACTAAACTCCACTGGTTAACAATAATCACCCTAATTATGCCAAGATGACATTTACAATACAGGCAATTGCTAATCCATTACCTCACTCTGCTGAATACTAGAACACTCAAATTAAAAGTTATTCACCCACAAAGAACAATGTTTTAGTAGCTGACACAGCTTAGTAAAGGAATTTATTAAGGTAATTTGCAGTATTCCCATAAATAAAACATTCTAGAGTTCCCCCGTCCTCCTCCCCCTTCCCCCAAAATAATCTTTTGTGATAAATCTTTTTTTTTCCCTCTCTTGTAGTGCAGTTAGAAGAATAATAATTGAAACTGTCAGACGGAGTTATGTGTTTAAATTTGCTTACCTGAAAGACAACAGAGAGCCGAACATTTTGCATCCCTTCAGGCTCTTTTCGGAGAACTGGGGCGATACTTAGTGGTTTGTGATGTGTAGGAGGTCACTGTGGTAAAACCTTCACCCATGTGGGGTTTCGATGAAACCTAAGGGAGACTCAGAATGAAGGAACGAGGAAGCTGTGACCAGCGCTGAGACGTGCAGTGTGTGGAGGATGCTGGCCCCGCGTGATAATCCAGCTGGGACTGGCAGGGCTCTTTGGCCCTCATCAGAGATGCTGAGAAGGCAGCAAAAGGGCTGTGAGTCTCCTTAAAGACGGCTTCAGTTCAAGCACGGGAGTAAATGCTGAGCCCTCTGCTCAGGTGATGTCCCAAACCAAAGGCAAACAAAAATCAGAACACGGCTAGCCCATGGTGGGAGAAGGGAGGCACTTGGACCTTTATTCCAACACCTGGAGGCTTTTTTCTTTTAGTGATTTCTTCCTGACTCATATCCCAGCATTAAAACACTCACAAAAGTTTATTTTTAAAAATTAACAATTTTAATTAATTAATATTTGTCAGTGGGAGGGAGTCCCACATGGAGTGAGGAAAGGGTTAAATGGACATACCAAAAAATCAGAGCTGGGTTTCACTGCACCCCCTGAGCAGCCCCTTGCACCTGGTGTTGGCAAAGCCTCTGCCAGCAGTGGATCCAGACAAAGGGATAGAGCAGGAAGGGATTTTGGGGGGGTTTGTTTTTTATTGTTATCACAGCAGCTATGGCCAAAGCTATTTGCAATAAAGCAGCACGTCGCAGCAAGCCAAGAGTCCCTGCTAGCACATCCCCGCTACGTGCTGGCCACCTGCAGCAGCAAAGCCAGCAGCACGCCGGGTGCCAGCGTCAGCTGAGCCCCACGCAGAGCGAGCAGCTTGAGGGGGAAACAAGGCAAAAATTCGGGGCAGCATCGCCAGGCTGATCGCTGCCTGCTCAGGAGATGGCTGGAGGACTTGGAGCAGAGCTGCCACACATCTGTGTCTCCTGCACAGACCTTCTCTTTCTGCCCAGGCACTTCATCCCAGCGTAAAAAAAAAAAATGTGAGCCATTTGTCTGGGATGTTGAAGCCCCCGGCAGCTGGGCTGGAGCTGGAGCTCAGGGTGGAGAGCAGATGTCCAGAGACCTGGTGAAATGGTCCCTGTGCATGTGCAGCTGAGCTCTCCGGCACTGACACCCTGGGTCTCTCCCGTCCCAGACACATTAGACTTACTCTGCTTATGCAGGTTGTTATCGTGATGAACAAATTGACTCCACATTTTCCTGCCCCGTCCATGCACAGCACGGTGTCTGTAAGCATCTTTACAACCAGCATGTGGGCTATGTGAGCAAGCCCTGCCTTATCCTACGCTGCTTCATGGTGATTCTGCCCCTGGCTGAAGCAAGGGAACACGCCACAGAGCAAAAGCCCTCTCTTTCTGCAGTTTGGACCAAAGATGCTTGCAGCTGCAGGGAAGAGCACTGAAGCAGTGCCTACGCAGACGTGCACCCCACACGCTCTGCTACAGCTGCTCTGGTTCAGTTCCCCCCTGCACGAAGCTCTCTCAAGGGTAGCCTGGATGCTCCTGGCCGATGGTGACAGATCGCAGGAAGGCAGCTCTTGTAAACAAAGATCTGCAGGCCTTGTAATCACCACCACTCCTTCTTCTCCCCCGGCTCAATTAAGAGACAATGTTTTCCTGCTCACCCGCTCTGCTTTTATTTGCTCTCCGTCTCAGGCTTCTGCGGAGTTTTTCCTCCCCTTCCTCCTGCAGCTGAATGCTAATGGACCGGGCGCCACTCCAGCCCCGAGCTCCCAGCCCTGGGCAGACACCCAGGGCACGAACGCGACGACTTCCAGAAGTGCTCCTGGGAAAACGGGAGTTTGTTCAAGGGAAGGGCTCTGCGAAGGAAATCTGAGTGAGGAAAAGGTGTGCCATAAAAGATAAATCTTTAAAACGCGCTGAACCTCACGTGGGGGGTGCTTCTACGTGGAGATAAAGCGGTCTTAATTTGAATGAACTTTATTCCTTCCCAAGGAGGGTAAACGAAGCCTGATTAAAGCCACTTGAATTCTGGCTAAGAGAGCCTGCCTGGGGAGTTAATGGCCAGTAACAGGCAGCAAACAAAGCCGGGTAATGCTCGGCACAGTGGGGTTCAAACTTCAGCACATAACTTCTTATGATCTGCAAACTATATTTCATCTCGGTGTATAAACTGACAACCCAAATTTGTACAGACATACGAAGACAGTAATATATGCCTCTCTTAACTTGCTCCTGTTCAAAGGCTGTAAGTACACAATCGGGGGGGGGGGTAATGACAGATTAGAGGAGAATCACTTCCAAGCACAGCTCAGAGGGATGCAGTGACATCACTGCCTCAGCTGTGCTGGCTCATCCAGGTCTGGACCACGTCATCCTGCAACTATCAAAATCACATCTTAAGCGATGGCAGAAGCTTGCTGAGCTCACTCATCCCAGCTGGGACTGCAGTCCCAGTTCTCATTGTCATTCCTCACCGGTGGTCATTCCTCACCTACTTTCCTTTTTTATTTTTCCCAATCTGTTCCCATTAATAATCCTGGTTTTCATCCTCAGCCCCTACCCGGTTTCTGCCCAGAAAACCTAAGTAACTCTCTGGGTGAGCCATTTCTCTTCTGATGGAAAGCTCAGCCAGCATTTCAGTGGCACTGCCTCCCATCTCCTTGACTGGGCAACTTAAATAACCCCTAATTTAGGCCATCAGGTCTGAACCCAGGCTCAGCACCGGAGCCAAAGGGATATCTCTTCCCTCCGTGCACCTCAGCGTGTTCCAGCATTTGTCCCAGAGCCCAGCATCTATTTATAAGGGGAAGAGAAGGCTGTGCCAGCCTGAATGCTTTGTTATTTTCTCTGACTGAATCTGAATTTTGGTGGCAAGAAGCACTGCCACTCTGTCTGTTTGACCCCACTTAGCCTCTGACATTAGAAATGCAGAAAATTCACAGTCCCACCAAAGCAGGGGAACTGTAATTGCATCGCCACTGACAGATGCTGGTTGTTGAACTGTGAGGAGCAACAGGGGATTTCGGGCTCTCTGTTCTTAAAGGCACAGGAAGATGGAGTTCCCGTGTTCCTCACAGACCTCAGTTATTTTCTGTTTTGAGCTGCACATTTCTTTTCTGCCAAGCTTCTGCTTTCATGGGACAGTGCCCGGGTTTTACACTGGAAGTGCCTGGAAGTGATGGAAAAGAAAGAATAAAAGAAAGAGGGAGGGAGAAAAGGAAGGAGGAAGGAGTAACATTAAAATCAACAGTTTCTCTTCTTTTCATTTTAGGTCAGAAAAAGTCTTCCCAACTTTACGAAAGGCATATTGAGAAAAAAATCAGTAAATTCATGAACATGCAGTTATTACTTAGCAGACAAATTACATTTCTTCCGAAATGTTCCAAAATGCATTCATTTTCAGAGTACATTACTTTCATAATACTGTGTGGAACATTAAATGAGAATTTCCCTGACTTGGCTACAGAGCACATTTTTATATTTCATAGTCTGACACAGAGCCCAGGGTAACTAATGAAAATCTTTTCGAAAAGTGACAATCTTGTCTAGCAGCCTCGCCTGTTGAAGAGATTGCAACATAAAACAGATGAGTGCCCTGCTTGACAGCTAATTGTGTCGGGCTTAATTACAACAAGCAGAATTTAATCGGCTGTGCAGTGCAGTTTTTTAGGATGGGGGAACCATCTGGAATGTACCTTGCTCCTAGGCTGATGGAGGGGCGGGCATCGCTGGATTTCAAAGACAGGGGAGCAACCGTGTGCGGATTTAAATGCAGAAGAAGTTCCTTCCCCAGTGTATTTCATTTGAGCTGTTTGATGAATTTCAGAGATATTTATGCAAACCTGCACACTGTTGCCTCGCGAAGACAAGGTTTTGGAAGCCTTCCCAGGCTCAATTTGATGAGCCTCGTTCCCCCTCCGTGGCCCTGCGCTGTGGCCAGAGCTCGACGCAGAGCTGTCAAGTTTCACGGACTGAGTCCCTCTCTTGGTCCCTCGCCTTGCTCTGCTGTGACGCCTCTCCCTGCCCCTGCGATCCTCCAGCCGGCTCCATCAGGTGTGGGCAGTCCCAGCACAGGACAGAGCTGAGCTGCAGCCAAGGCAAAGTGCTGGAGAAACACCTTCCTCGGGGCCAGTCTGGCGTCGTTGGCTTGGTTTGCCTCGCAGCCTGGCACGAGGTGTCCACGCCAGGAGCTGGAGAGCTGTGTTTATGTTGGCCTGAAAAAAAAATTGAAAAGGAAGTGCCCTAAGTCAGAGATCTCCAGGCTGTCATGGGCACAGCAGGAGGGGAGGGACGGGAGGCAGGCACCGGCCCTTTGCACTGTTGTATGTCCCATTTTGAGGCTGAACATCGGCACCCGGGGAATACAGGCTGGGGAGTACTCCAGCGCTGACCCTGGCGAGGCTGATGCCATCTCCTGCTGAACTCCGGTGGAAACAGGCTATTGATAACCGACAGGCTCCCTGAGAACTGCAGGCTAAGGCAGTTCCTCATTTTCTCCCCCTGAATACATTTAATACCCAGCTATTGAAATAGTCCTTTGTCATGTCAGAACAAGGAAGAACGAAACATGCATTTCAAAGCCTTTGAAACAACAACAAAAGGCTTGTGCTAGTGCAGGAATCCTTTGGTACCGCATGCCTGGCAAGAGCTGCGTGCCCACAGACCGGTCCCTGCGGGCAGGGACAGGGCTGCTCCCCTCCCTGGGAGCCAGCAGCCAGGGCAGGAGCCCAGGAACGAGGGGCAAGCAGGGCCTGGCTCCAGTCTGCCCTCCCTCATGCACAAACGTGGATTTGGGTACAATAGCCCCAACCAGGGGCGTGCCTCCATCTTCTGGCTAAAGAATTAATCCCCAGCCAACTTTCAGGACAAAGTCAGTCACAAAATGGTATCTCTGAGGTCGCAGTGTCTGCAGCGTGTAGATGGATCCCTCACTTCAGGGGTGTTTTATCTGTTTTTGCTGCTGCATGGAGTCCTCAGTGTCTCTCCATGGCTGTCTCCATCCATCAAGAGCTGGGGGAGCCCTAGCAGGGGCCTCTCAGGAAGTAACATCCCCCAGCACAGCCCTTGTGGCCTCTCCGGGCCTGGCCTGGCCCCTCCGTGGTTTGGCTCGTGGCTGCTCACACAGGGCCTGTTGCTACTCCCAGACACACGGCTCTAATCTGCTCCCCGACTCCAGCTGCATGTTTTGCTCTGGCTCCGCTGTGAGGTTCCTTCACCTCACGCAGCGTTTCTCTTGGTGTAATTGACTCGAGGCGTCTTCCTCCTTTTTTCTTTCCCCCTGTCCGTTTCATCCAGCCGTCTGCAGTTTGATCTCAGAGAGGCTGCCGGGAGCTCCCTGCTGGGCTGACTTTGCTCTGACGCCTCCATCTCCTCTGTCAGGCAGGGCAGTGGCTGTCACCTTTCTCTTGTCAGGGCCACGTCCTCACCTCCCCTTCGCTCAGGCTGTGTTCTGGCCTACCTCCCACCTCCATGGAAGCGGCGAAGCCTCTCGGAAGGGTGGATGTGAGCCATGGGTTGGAGGAACTTGTCCCATGCAGGGCTGAGCCCAGAAATCCGAGTGCTCTGGGTGACCAAACAAAGCAAAGCCCAGGTCTGGGCTCAGCAGGGGCTCATCTACAGACTTGTGGGAGATCAGGATGGGCTTTGGGCTGGTTTTATGCCTGTGGTCCTTGACAGTGTCCTTAGGAGGGTGGAAGAAGCTCAGCCTGGGAGCTGTGCACCAGGGACTGGACTCGGTAGCACTCAGGAGGAGCCACAGTAAGCTCCAAGCGCCTGTAAAACCAGCCCCGTTGTGTAGCTGGAAGGAGAGGGGCTGGCAGCATCTTTTGGGTGCTGCAGGCTGCTGCCTGACACCACCTCCCTCAAACACTTCAGAAAAGCTGCCTGCAATCTGCTTCGTAACTGAAAAAAGAAAAAAACCACAGCAGGTCCAGGCTCCGGTGTTTTCACATCTAACCCAGCAAGTCTGTGCCCCTGTCCAGGGGCTGCTCTGGGTTTACTTGGGAGGCAACTGCGAGCAGAAATGGGCACAGGCCCTACATTCTTTGGCCTTACACTGGCTTCATTGAAGTAGATCCTCTGTGCAGCCACTGCTTCCCCCTCAAATGTCGCTGTGGGGTCTGCCAGTGACCCCTGTGCCTGCCCAGTGCATGGACAGGGATCCAATACACGTGGTAGGGTGTTGGTGGGCTTCATCAGCCTGTATGGTGGGCTTCAGCAGCACGTTGTGCTGCTCACAGCCAGGCTGGCAGCACCTGCAACACCTGGGTTCATTCCTGGGTTTCTCAAATAACCTTGGGCAAATCACTTGCCCTTGTATTTTTTTGCCCCTTTGTTCAGATGAGAGGAATGAGACCATCTGTAAGAAAAGGCTTTGAGTTCTCTAGAGAAGCAGCTCCTGCATCCCACACTCATTGTGAAATCTTCCTTCTGTTTCTTCCCCTCTCTCCTCTGTAATTTTCAAGCCAATAATCATTAGCCATCCCTCAACGAGCTCCCCTCAAGGCAATTAATTACGATCTATTATGCCCATTTTACAACTGCAAAAACCAAGAGGCAAGGTCAGACACCGGCAGCCTAGAAGTCAGAAGCAGGGAGCCTAGGAGGCCAGTCCATTCTCCATACCAGCATCCCTGCTTTGACCACCAGACCTTGCTACCCTCAGAAACCCTATCAGGGAAAGCCAGGCGACAAGCATTGTCCACACTGCTAATCTTCAGAGGACCATATTAGTGCAATTTGATGTCAAGACGCCTTATCTATCATGAAGCAAAGAGTAAGATTAAAGGACTGGAGTTACAAGTGCCTTTTTGTTTGCACTAACTGGGTGAGTGTCTGTCTGGAAAACAGAAGCTTTCAATCTAAATTGCTGTCACGTTTCCCATACAGGAGTAGATTGGTCTCAGCACCCTTATTAAAAATACTACGAGCGTTCTACAGCTGCGGCTTGAAACTCTGCAGCTCTCAGTCAGGAGGTTGCAAAGTAGATCTTCAACACCAGATACTGATCACTGCTACTCCGGCGTAAATCTGAAGCAGCTTCCCTGAAGCTAGTGGAGTAACTCCTGGATTTACACCAAACCTGATGCCGGGGACCTGCTTGCATTCCCCAGCCTCTTTGCACCAACTCAGCTGCAGCACATCCTAGATTAGCAGAGCTGTCGTGGAACAGGGCAGAGCTGCACAGATTTGCTCACTGATGCTGCCCCCTGTTTGCTACATAAATCCTGATACACCCTGGTGTAAAGGAGAGTCAGAATAAGTTCCTTTCAGCCACGTCGTATCTCTGGGAGTTATTACTCCAGAGCATCCCTGAAACCACTGGGGAGAAGAAAGAAGGGATGTTGGAAAAAGGCTAGGTTAAAAAAAAAAGGGAAAAGGGAAAAAAAAAAAGAAAGAAGATGGAGTAGGAGAAATGCAAAAAAAAGAAAGGCGAGGAGGAGCACGGAACAGAGGGTTATCAAAGGCTTCTGTTGTGTGCTTAATGATGCTTTAATCCCATAATGACATGGAGGCACACGAACATGAATATGGAAGGCAGGTACAGCCAGGATCAAACGTGCTTGTTTTTTTTTGTGTGTGTGTTTTCACCTGAAATGCATCCAAAACACACTGTCAAATAGTGTTTGCTACACTTGTCTCCTGCTGCCACTACTCTGCCCGGCAGCTACGCTGACACCGCTCCAGCAACAGGGTTGAGGGAGGGAAAGGGGACTGCAAACTTCCTTGGGGAAGAGGATAATAACCATAACAGAGATCAGTATCCTCCTGAGACCGCCCGGCTTTGCTACTAGCAACAACAGCCCCGCAGATGGCAGTGGCAAGTTAAAATCCAGCCAGCTCCGCTCTTTGCCTCCAATAGCAGCCTACATGTCTCAGCAGATAGAGTTCCTTGAACACTGACAAAACCAACAACTTTTCCCAGGCCCGGGCTGGTTGTCTTCTTGCTTAAAGGGAAATCTTTCCTCTCTGTTTTCTCTTCTTCCCAGGTCTTGCTTCAGAGGTGAGCTGAGGCTGTCAGCGGAGCCGCAGCACTGAGAGGTGCAGGGAGGCAACAGAAAAGGGGAAGACGGGGCTGTGACAAATAGAAACGTGGAGACACGAAGGTGATGCTGGGGTCCAGGGAGGAGCAGCATGAGGGATTGGGGGGCATGGATGCAGGAGGAGGCAGCTGAGCAGGGCAAGGCCAATTTACCTTCGCCTGGGCACTCCTGCAAGCTCCGGGTGAACCCCAGGCTCCCTGTGGCCCTCGGAGCACTGCGGATGAGAGGCTGCTGCTTCTTCCCCTGTATTTATTTGCGTGGGGCCACGAGTGCACAGGGGACTTTATAAGAGCAGGAAAACGGAGCTCTGGCCTTTAAGAACTTTGTGACTCAGCAAGGAGAGAGAGGATTAATATGAGCTGGTGCCTTGGAGGGCAGCAGGGAGATGAAGTTCAGGAGAGGGACTTATATCATCAAGGCATGGGAACAGGCGGTGACCACAGCGAGCTACCTATCCACGGGCTTTAAGAAGCTGGATGTTGCATTGCAGTATCCTTTCTCACCTGCTCTTCACTCACATTTCCAGCAGAAAAAACAAATTTTTAAGTGTAACTCCATCAGATTCAATGAGAAGTGCAGACATCTGTGTTCTTTTCCCCTTAACTGAAGCTCAGAGCTTGGCAGGGCACTAAAGAGTGGTTTATCTTCTCCAGAGCTCTCAATTCACAGGGGAAAAATCGGACTCTGGCACTCTGGATTCCTGTGCCCTCCAGGATGCAAAATGACATCAGGCAACACGAGAGCTGAGTGCCAAGCCCTTTGCTGAATGAGGAATGGCATTAATGTAAGCAAAATCCAGGGCTGAGATCTTCTCAGTTCTCCCCCTGTTGAGCTCTGCTGACCACTTGCTCTGCTGGGCCAGAGATGTCCTCTGGGCTCTCTGCAAAGGGAAGGTGGCCTCCAGGTGGGCATGTCTGGCTTCCTCCTTCTTCCATGTTTTGCTCCCTGCAGTACTAGGACTGGTAATTTTCAGCAAGTGCTCTTTGGATACTTGCTCTCATTCTGCAGCTTGGCCCTTTTCTTACCTTGTGGCTCTTTGACCTTTGGCCATGCTCCACATACATAACATCCCAGGTATAAATGAGGTAAGAGATTAAGTATGCAGAGTGTGAGCTGACTCCAGGCTGCCAGAGCTGGGAAGGGAGCAAGGGGATGTTAACCTAAATCCATCA